AGGAGAAATCATTCATCACCTTGAAATATTGCTTGAAAAAATTTTTACTCTTGAAATATTCCTTGAAAAAAAATTGTAATAATTTTATTTCTTGCCCAAGCTGAAATTTCATTAATTTCATTTCTGTTCAAAATTGAGGAAACGTACGGCAGAAACAACAAATAAAACAACGCATGAGAAATACAGGAAAATATTGTTTGTCTTGCAGGTTGATCCCAAAAGGTATGTGTATTATTATTCGTACCATAGCTTAGTAGACAACTACAAAGTCGCTATTCGCTTTCCTTGCTTGTAAACAGTCATCATATATTATCACCTAATTCCGACAAGTCCCAATTGATATTGTGGCCCACTCGATTTTCACTATGATCTCTAAGTCCTTAAGGCTGGAATAAATCCGCGCCATTAAATGTGTCTTCAGTTTCCTTTGCAATTATTTTGTAACTTCATCATATTCTCTTTAAAAATCAATTTTCGCTCACAGATGCAAATCGTTATGTGCACGAAAACTAGAAATAGTTATCTTCTAATGAGTCAATAAATTTATCAATTATTAAGATATTCAAATGTTATTGGTGTATTCAGCATACAGTTTTATCACTTAGTTTTGGGAAATAGATTTTTGAAGTCTTCAATCATGAATTTAAATTAGTGAAAAAGAAAACAAATATATAGAACAAGAAAAATCTCTAACTTATTAACATCGATATCATTTTTACAGAGAATCATGTTAGCTCATAAAATGAACATAAGTAACCTCGATTGTGTTTATAAAAATACATCTTCGTTGGAAGTATTTTATAAACACAACAATTATTGCAAGAAAGACTTAAAAAATAGTGGTTATAAATACCCTGATATTAAATGCAGAAAACATAACAGTGATAGACGGAAAAAAATAGAAATAGAAAACTCATTTTTCCCCCACCATTTAACCAAATGGGTAGCACTAAGATAGGGCAGACGTTTTTTTCATTTTGATTGAGAAACATTTCTCAAGTAATAATCCTCTAAGCAAGATTTTTAATAAAAAAATACGCTTAAATTAAGTTACAGTTATACTGATAACCTAGAAAAAATATTAAAAAGCATAATAATAAAATTTTAAATCAACACCTAAATCATAGTCACAATAGTAATTCCAAAACAGAAATCAATAATGATAACAAATTATGTAATTGTAGAAATCATAAAGTTGTCCATTGTAAAATATGTGTCTTAGTGAATCAATTGTTTACCAATGTGCCATTTCATCTACTGGAAACTCAGTCGTTGAGAAAATTCATATTGGTAGTCCAAAAACCTCTTCAAACAAAGATGGTATCAGCATATATCTTCTTTTAAAAATTTAATATTTAGAAAGGTATGGTATATTTTTGTCCTTTAATAGAAATTTATAAAATCCTTACCGTAAAATGGAAAATATTTTAAAAATCGAGAATTTGTAAATCCATAAACGATCCACGTCTCCTATGTTTGCATGAAAAGCTCCATATTATAAAGTTTCCTAAGACTAAAGTTCTTCGAAATCAGAGAAGTGAATTAACAGTAATCTGCAGACATTGTATAATGTTTATTTAAAGTATAGTTAAAAGAATTTTTCATTAAAAAATCTATGCATTTCAATTATATATCCATTATTTTATTAATAAATAATGGCCCACATAATATTTATTTAATTTTTTGATTTTTCAACTATAATATTGCTATGTTTTAGTGACTATTAAATATAATATGTATCGTTTTTAAGGTTAAATATATATAAAAAATGTTTTGATTAAATTAGCGGCCACATTAAGAACATAAGTATAAAAAAATATAAAAAAACTTGTAACTCCTCATAAATAACTTTTTGTAAAATATAAATCCATGTTTATTTCATTGTATCTTAGCATTAGTTTTACAACAGTATGTTTGCAGTAGACATATCTAAATTGACATTTCATCTAGACTTGAGAAAATAACCTATTTAATCACACCTTTTGACCTTATTTTCCATTTTTCTATTTTAGGTTTGATGCGTCTTTTGATTGGTAAATCAAGATATACCCACAAAAGAGTTTTTTTTTATGTTTATGTAGCCCCTGTTAGGGTCCCAGATATTAACAAATAGTGAACACTCTAACAAAAATGAAAGGCTATAAAAGTATAAAAATACATTTATATAGTAAAATACTAGCAATATATTTTTATATAAGAACATTACCGACAATACTTATTTATAGTAAAAAGACCAATAGTACATTTTTAAAGTAAAATGAAGAGCAATATATTTTATAGTAGAATTGCCAACAATACATTTTATAGCAAAATGACCAACGACACATTTTATCTGTACGTGAAGGAATACAACTGCGTTCAAAATATTTGGATTTCGGTATTAAATAACCCATAGAAGTTGATGTGATGCTAAACATAATTAACTAACCTAATACTTTTAAGTTGAGAACATTCATCTTTCCACTGCAAGGCAGAAATTTATGTCTTCCTTTTGGAATATTCTAATTGTTCTTACTAATAATCATGCACTTCCGAATGCTTATCAGATGAAAGCTAATCGGATGAATTCTTTGTTTTTTGCATTGTCAATGGATAGCCGAAAACGCGGAAACCATAAATATTATTTGATGACATAATCACAGACAATACGAATAAAGCAACATAAAAATAAATTCTCAAAATCCTTGGTCAAATTTTGTGGGTTTTTAATGTAAAGGAATCCGAAAGTTAAGAACAAAAGTTTCCCTTATTTCCGAAAGAATTGGCAACTAAAAGTGTAACCAGGTGATCAGGGATCAGTTGTCTTTTAAAAAGTTGTACTTGTTTGAATTTGCTATTTTGTTTTTATAAGAAACGGCTTTAAAAGATGCATTTAAAAATCATTATGCTAGATGAATGCTCATTTAGAGAATTTTAAATCGAAAAATTTACACAACCACTTTTAACAATGCTTTGATATCTTTGACAACGTCCAATTATTCGTGAATGCATTTATGAATTTCGAAAAGCATGGCCTGTCTTCCGTTTCTCTCTTATATAAGTATGTCCACGGCAATTGTTCTAATGGACTTTCCTTCTTCGTAGCGCGACTTTTAAAAAAAAATAATTTCACCCCAAGCAGGGCAATAAAGCCTCTACGATGGAAGGGGTTTGGAATAATATTAAAAATAGAAACTATTATTAAGGCGACAAAGCAATAAAAAATTAATTAAGACAGATTGACAATGCATTTAATTTTTTTTAAGAAGAAAGTGGATTGGAAATCAAGAATCCGAAAGAGAGTTCCACAAGCGAGAGGGAAATATTAGCATAAAACCTACAGTTACATCTAGCCATTTTAGATGTAAAAGGATTCAGTCTTGCTGCCAATCTAGCACTGTGATTTAATTCATAAAGTCTAGATGCTAAAGAGGAAACACAAGAACATGCGTTTAAATGGACTACTAGTCTGGCAAATTGGTTACATCGTTTTATTGTTGAAATGGTTAGATATTACCGTAAGTTTTATACTAATAGTTTCTTTTCACGCACTTTTCGCCTGTAGAAATCTTTTCCAATTTCTTACTTCCGTTCCACCTACGACCTTCAAAAATTTAAATGTAACGTCAATCGCCATCTCCTGTCTCCCTGAATTATTTTCTTTTCGCCACACTAAAGTCTACTCGTTCTTTTTCCCTCTTAGTATTCTCTGGCGTTTATTGGCATTATCGGCTCGCTTCTGAGGAAATTATTAAGAAATGCAGTTGTGAATATGTCTATTATTAAGGATTTGGTAGTTAAACGGATTAAACGTTATTATAAACACGATTCGGCGGAAGAGAATTGGGTCTTTTTCACAACTTGGATTTCATAATATTGGCTTCCAATTAGCATACGTGCAATGCAATATCAATTTCCATACAACTATAGAAGCATTTCCGAACCTCTCTTTCTTTCACATTATATGCCAATATGGATAATTAATCGGTAATTAAAAAAGTGTTCACATTTTCAACACACACACACACACACACACACACACACATATATATATATATATATATATATATAGAGAGAGAGAGAGAGAGAGAGAGAAAGAGAGAAAGAGAGAAAGAAAGTAACTGTCTGAGATAGATAGATAGATAGATAGATAGATAGATAGATAGATAGATAGATAGATAATACTAGCAGTAGAGCCCAGCGTTGCCCGGGGATGTAACAGTAAGAGATAGATCAAGTATCGACCATCATAAAGACTGAAAAATAAAATTGACAAAGATTATTGCTTAAAGTTGAAAGAAACGCATGTCTTAATTAGTTTTTTTTTTTTTACGAATTGGTCAAAGCCAAACTCAAACATAAACATTGTTTTCAATCGTTATGAGTCTACCGATTGAATAGAATTTTATTATAAGCAATTGTCTTGTAAATGGAATTTTTAAAGCATTCTGAATGTAAAAATAAAGAAAAAAGTGTGCATACAATACGAAACACTACCTGCCAAAAAAAAAGTGAAGTTGAAATCGGTTGAAAAATGTAGGAAATCCGATCCCACATATACACACAAACAACCTGGTATAACTCGATATGAGTATAACTCGATATGAGTTGTCCCCCTTTCATTCTCGCTATGCCTCTTAATCGTGTTTTCAAATTGACTTTGTGCAAAAACAATTGTGTTTTTCTAATTTTTGGCACTGTCAGAACCACCGCAAGGTAATTTTACGTAGTCCTGTGAAGTTTTGTTGAAATCGGTTGAAAAATGTAGGAAATCTGATCCAATATATAAACGTACAGACACACACACACAACCTGGGTTTTATAATAAGTATGATGTAGATATAGTTCTTGTAAAATGCATTTATTTTTACGATGAAACCTGTTCAACGGTGACACATTTCAAAGTAAAAAAGAGATATCAAAACTGTTAGACATTTGCCATTCCGTTTTGTTCTTATGCGCCTTCACTCATATGCAGAAAGACGCTCATATTCTTACTCACACACATAAGATTTCATTAATTAATTAGATAGATAGATAGATAGATAGATAGATAGATAGATAGATGTGAAGGGATTAAGATAAGCGGCGTGATAAAGAAACAGATAGGCTTTCTTCAACTGGAAGATTCATGTTAGACAAACTTCCTACTCCATTTATCTTGAGTTGGCTTTGTCAGATCAAATCAGTCAGGCATAAAATAGGCGGATGTTTTTCTTGCAACCCATAATAAGATTTAGATAGATAGATAGATAGATAGATAGATAGATAGATAGATAGATGGAACGAACATTGTGAGATATAGAAGTAAGTTTGAACCGTAGAAAGAAAGGTGGGATTGAATCAACACCGATGGACATCATTGGTGAATACCGAGATAGATAGATAGATAGATAGATAGATAGATGTAGCTGAAAACAAAATAAGTTTGAACAGTAGAAAGAAAGGTGGAAATGCAGATTTAATCAACACAGATGGTGATTAGTGGATGGGGCGAAAACCGAGATAGATAGATAGATAGATAGATAGATAGATAGATAGATAGATAGATAGATAGATAGAGAGCAGCAAATATGGTCTTCCCAATTGGAAGATTCTTGCAACACAAGCTCCTTCTCGCCAATGACCTTTTGATCTATTCAGGATAAACATGAGCTTTTTTTTCTTCTTACTATCGCATATGTTCGAATTTAAACAAAGAGACAGTGAGGAGCAGAATTTGACCGGGAATACGAAAAGAACAGTGCGGGTTCGTTAAAGACACTATAAAAAGGAATGCGATATTTATACTATTCTGAGTATGAAAATAGCATTCTTTATACTATTGGAAAAAACATTTGATAAAGTATGGAATCTTTAGGTAAACTAGAAATATTTGGGAAGCAGATTAGAATAATCCATAATCTATACTGACAGCAAATCGCCTGTATACACATAGGAAATGAGTTCAGTAAATATAAAAAAATTAGAAACGAATCTATGACAAAGATGTGCCTTCTCACCAGATTTATTCAACCTAATGTATGAGAGGATGATGAAAGAATTGGAAGTCCTATCATAATTGGCGATCACTGTCTTAACAATGTAAGGCATGTAGATGACATAGTGTTGATAGCAGACAGAACAAGGATGCTACAGGTATTCCTACAGAAGGCAGTGAAGGAAAGAGAAAACTAAATATTTTCAAGAAACCAGGATACGTGGTTGTTAACAAAATTAACAGCCGAACCATACAAACTGGAGATACCGAATCAAGAAAATAGAACAGTTCAAATGTGTTTTAACAGAAGACGGAAAGTGCAACAGCAAAATACGAAGGTACTTTTGGATAGCGAAATATGCCTTCCAAAAGCTAAACAAAGTATTAAGAAACAGAAAAATTTAATTAGAAAAAAAAATGAAAGCAGAACTGAACTGTTACGTGATATCAGTCCTCCTCTATTCAAGTAAATGCTGGACAATCCCCTTACAGAGGAAGAAGAGACTTGAAGCAACATAAATGTGTTTCTACAGAAGTATGTTGAGAACTCACAGGATATACTCATTTGACACTCATAGGCAACAGGGACATAGGAAGATAGCACATAAATCTATCTAATGAGTTTGAGTAACTGAATGATCGATGGAGGTTTAGGAGAGATGACAAAAAGATAAAATTTACGATGAGGTACAAGGACATAACTTCTGGAGAGCCATGATCGACAAAGTTTTGAAGGGACACGTCGCATAGACGAGATAGATAGATATAGAGATCATTAAACGTCTGACATTAGATAGATAGATAGATAGATAGATAGATAGATAGATAGATAGATAGATATGAACAAACGATAGATAGATATGAACAAACGATAGATAGATAGATAGATAGATAGATAGATAGATAGATATGAACAAACGATAGATAGATAGGTAGATAGATAGATAGATAGATAGATAGATAGATAGATAGATATGAACAAACGATAGATAGATATGAACAAACGATAGATAGATAGATAGATAGATAGATAGATAGATAGATAAAAGGACTATTATAAACATAGATAGATAGATAGATAGAATAAATAAAAGGAATGGTAAACATACGGAGATAGATAGATATGATAATGATAGAATAGATAGATAGATAGATAGATAGATAGATAGATAGATAGATAGATTAGAAGAGATTAGATAGATAGATAGATAGATAGATAGATGCGAACAGACTGAGGTAGATAGATATGAACAGATTACATAAATAGATAGACAGACAGACAGATAGACAGATATATATATATATATATATATATATATATATAAAGAGAGATAGATAGATAGATAGATAGATAGATAGATAGATAGATAGATAGATGCAAATGGACTGAAATAGGGAGATAGACATATGAAGGGATTGATATAAACATAGAGCAAGAGATACATATATGCCCTCAAATAGGCCCTCCCCAATTCAAGGATTTTTGTAGCATAGGCCTCTTCCTCCAATACGCCATTGGCCTTGCGCCATATTAAGAATAGCTGTGGGCTGATATTGTTGATACCAAATATGATCAGATTTGCATAGAAAAGAAAGAAAGCAAGAAAGAAAGAAAAGAAAAGAAAAATGAAAGAAAAAGGTACATAAAAGCAACATAAATCGTTCATATAGCATACTAAGAAGAATGATATATAAAAAGACAACATGCATAAAGGAAAGAAATAGAAGATGAATCGTACGGAAAATATAAAAGAAAATTCGTGAAATATAAAACGAACAAATAAATCAAAAGAAAATGTATTTCATTGCAAATGGAATGTGATGTTTATCATTGTTAAAATGTTCATTAAAAAAAAAAAAAAAAGCGACTGATATATTTCTTCATTTCAATATTTGTTCACTGTTATCTTTTTTTCAAATTTTTGATAATTTTAATTCGAAAAAGAAAATATCTTCCTATTTTTTCTTGTAATTATTTTTTAAGAGGGATTACTGTATTCCTTATGTGCGTGAAAATTGTATATCGGGAAGAAAATTCACCTTCGTTTTTCTCGCCGTCGCAGAGTCCATATCAATCTTTTTAAGCAAAAATGTCACCCTTTTCTTGTGTTTTCCTGACAGCATATAACCATTGCCAATATTCTGCGGTGAGAAAGAGAGAGAGAGAGAAAGAAAGAAAAGTCATCGTGAGGGGAGCCTCTTGTATAGTCCGTCCATATACACCCACATATACCTTATGCACTAAGAGATAAACGTAACACCCGAGGGTTAACAGAAAATGAGGCTTGAAGGTAATTTTATGGAAACGGAGAAGAGAAAAATTAACAAAATTGTTACTTTACTCTTTAGTGACAACAAGGCTCTTTTCAGTTACGTTTATCTTTCACATCCACATATAGTTGGTAATCGAACAACAAAAGAGAAATGAAACGCCTAAGTAACAAGTTTAATTCGTACACGGAAAATTTTTCAGATTAATAATAATTGTATGGATAGAGTCAGTCTTATTTATAGACAGACTGAGGAAAAATAAAACAAACACCGGTTGAAACATAAATCTACAAATTAAACATTAAAAAAAAAAAATACCCTACCAAAGAGATAAAATACTTAAAAATTAAATAAAAGATGCTCGGAACTCTAAAAATATATATTACGCAGCAATACATTCATTTTTTAGTCGTTCATCGTAATATGTCTGAAAATAATTCCAACTTAAAGAATTCAGTTTTGATTAAAATACAAGATAGTTTATTAGGACAAAAATATATTGAAATTTCATTAATTTAAAAAATATTTACAGTAAATTAACGTCCAAGTTCATACAACTTATCATTGCTCCTAAAAAGAAAACGTATGCTGACAGGGTGAGATATTAAAAATATATCGAAATAATACAATTTACAATCAAAAGTGATAGGAATTAAATCGACTAACTTATATATCTTGACGCAATAGACGTCAGAATTTAAAATATTTACATTTGATGCTAAGCATCCTGTATCTTTGACATTTTCATATGTAAAGTTTTAACCGGCATTTGTCGCATTTCTCCCCAACAGATGAAACCATTATTTGTTTGAGGACGATTGTTACAGATACGAAACACATTACCTAAAAGGTGTTTATATTTTGTCATTCGATTACTCATCATTTAGTGATATATATGTATATATGTATGTATGTATATATATATATATATATATATATATATATATATATATATATATATATATATATATATATATATATATATATATATATATATATTTGTACATCATATCTTTCACATCCATATATATATATATATATATATATATACATACATATATATATGTTCTTTTATAAGATATATATATATATACATATACATGCCTGTATAAGACAATGTATATGTACATATATCTGTATAAATACTGTATGTATATATCTATAAATTTATATTGATGTGTGTGTGTGTGTGTGTGGGTTGCTGGAAAGTTCTTGGTCCAAGCAGTTTCCAGAAATTTGTCTAAATACTTAAAGTTGTTTATCTGGAAAGACTTCTCGGTCAGTCCGAGAACTTTTAGTTATAAGCATATCCATTTGCATAAAATTAACGCAAATACTTTTCGTTTACACGTCCTATATATATATATATATATATATATATATATATATATATATATATATATATATATATATATATATATGTATGTGTGTTTTGTGCGTATGTGTGCTAATACAAATAATTGGTAATGGATAGTAGAAAATATCACTATTCTTAACTCTATTGAAATAAATCCACAATATACATATATATATATATATATATATATATATATATATATATATATATATATATATATATATATATATATATATATATATATCATATAAAAATCTCGCTATTAACTACAAATATTTACGATCATTGTTTTTTGAATACGATATTACTTAGAATTACCTTGTCTTACTCGTTATTGCACAAAGTTTTATTAATCTTCACATATATAAAATATAGAAATAAAAACTATATATATATATATATATATATATATATATATATATATATATATATATATATATATAATGATTTATATATATATATATATATATATATATATATATATATATATATATATATATATAAGAAGATGCAAAAGTTTCCAGCCTACTGAGAAAACCTATTCAGGTGCGTTGATATTCACTCATGAAATATTTTCCGGCTTTTTATGTTATATAAAATTTGTTTTTGAAAAAATCTTAAGGCTTTCTTTCTTCTTTTATGCACCATATCCCTTCAGGGCGTTGGTGATCATGGCTTTCCACATCTTCCTGTCGCTTGTAGCTCTTAATAGCTTTTGTTTTTTTCTTTTTCCTCCCAAACCCAGTTCTACCATTCATTTATATCACGTATATTACACGCTGTTTTTCTTTATCCAATCTCTCCTCTGTGTATCAGGTTTTCCAAGCCCTTCTTCCTCGTTATGTGCCCCAGAAATTTCAACTGCCTCTTCCTGATATTAAATATAAGGTTCCTTTTTGTTACCATTTTCTCCAAAACGTCATTGTTGTTCCAATGTTCAGGACATGGTATCATCAGCATCATCTTTCTGTAGAACCACATTTCTCTTGCTTCAAGACTCCAGCAAACGAGTGTTTCCCCCATGTCGATAAAATGTCGGGAGAAGACGAATATTTCAATCGAGGTAAACAAAATTTCATCGCTAGCTTCACGATTATTAGCTGTATTTAATTTTCCACATGACTGGAACGCAACGCATTCATCACTCTCCATGTCTGCCAAACATTAAAAAATAGCCAATTTCTCAGTGCGCCGTTTAAACTGCGTAGTGAGTTCGATCCTCCCTGAGTCCCCCACACTTTGTGCCACATCTAAGCTACGCTTAGTAAACCACCACCATATGGGATTTTCTCATATTCTATTACGAAGCCCAAGACCCGGAGGGGGTCATTCTGCCAGGCTTCAACTTTCCATCGGAAGGGCCCTGAGATTATTGAGCGACGTCTGAGGCTCCCAAATAATGGGATGTGCTTAAGGGCATTGCGATTTTTTTCACGGTACTGCCGATAAACCCACTTTAAAAATCACGACTTTGTGTCACATCTGGTTGGGTGGTAGGCAAACTAGTGCCCCAAATTTTGGCAGGGTTCCACATCTATGCTACGCTTAGAAAACCACCATATATCAGCCATATTCTTTTCAACATTTGGCTTAAGAAATTGAAGGTCTTCTAACTCGAGTGATTATCAGATTTGTTTTAAGCTCCTCGTGTTGAATCCAGTGCTTTATAACTAGCGAATATCATCCTAAAATGACTGTTTCTCTTTCGAGCTATAGTAAAAGAAATATTTAAAATGTAAATCCATGAGATCTTCCGCTAACTCAATAACAACTGACCCGACACATGATAAGTCTTGCGGTCTCTGGGCCCTTGGAGCGACTCCACATAACGAGGTCTTCTTATTCGTTTAAGTGGCGAGATTTTATCTATCGCTGAATTGAAAAGCCTGTCACCTACCTTCCAGTACACGATACATCCCAGTAGTCACAGATCTGACTACTGACCAGGCTCAGCCTCGCTTAACACCGCACGGGAACCGGTGCTTCGACGAGATATCAGGAGGACCATCTTCCGAGTCCTCATAAACCTGTGATTGTATATGAACTACAAAAGTTAGCTCATACGCAATAAGAAGCTAAAACTATATTAAATTTCTCGGTTTTCGGTATTAATAAACAATTTATGCCGCTGTGAACTTTTGCATCAACCTTATATATATATATATATATATATATATATGTGTTTGTGTGTGTGTGTGTGTGTGTGTGTACACTGAAATTTTACTGCTACACACATTAATTGATTAATGTATTATATAACTACGATTGATTATTAAGTAACTAATATAGTTCATTAATCTAAAAAATAGCATTTTTCTATGAGTGTACAGAAACATATATTTTCCAAAACATATAAATATAGAATATTAGCATGTGCATAGCCATCATAAAAATATATCAATGTTTTCAATATACATATGAGAAACATTTTAAAATTAAACATCGAATATATCTTTTTATGCGTTATTTTATGACAGTAAAGAGAATGAAAATATCGTATAGATGTTTAAAATATCTATATCTATCTATCTATCTATCTATATTTATATATATATATATGTGTGTGTGTATGTGTGTGTGTGTGTCTAAATACCAAGTAACAAATTTAATTTATCTCTAGAATAAAACAGACAATTAAATGATCATCATTAAAGTCCCAACTTTAGAAAAATAAGAATATTTTTTTTTTATAAAATATTTACTTTTATTATAGGTAATATGTTTAAATCATCTCAGTGTTTTTTTTTTTAATGCGTTTCTATAATTTTTCTTTTTAAACTAAAACAATTTTGAATGCGGGAATCGAAATAAGTTAGAATTTATCTGAAGGAATGCTATATCGAAAGGTCTATTTTGGCAGCCCCGGTTCCTTCAAGCAAATTATTACCAAGCGGGAGAGAGTAGCAGTTTCAAAGATCACATGATGCATGAGGTAAGAGAATTGCATTCCAAGAGCGAAGCATCATCCTTCTATAACAGAACACAAAGAAGAAGAAGAAAAAAATAGACAAGAGAGCGTATCGGTACTGAGAGACTATCTTAAACGCGAAAGGACAGCGCAAGGATTTATCATATTCATCATCCAATGGACAGTAAATATAAAAATACTAGACAACCAAGGAAACAGTCATAACACTACTATATAATAAACATAGATGGTAATTTAGGAGATTGCATAAGAAAATGAAAAGGGATTAAAAAGTCAAATGTGTAAGAAGATGTAGACAGAGAAAATATTGTGTAATATAGTAACAAAAAAACGACGTCTTACTTTAATGTTTATGGCTTTCTCCTAGGAATTCTTTAGAGAATCTGTCGGGATATTTTATTATTTCTTCGGATTTCTCATAAAAGGGACGTATACTTGTGTCTTTGAGAGACAAGGTCCCGGATACTTTTTAAGTAGGCCAGAAACTCCTTGTTGGTATCCCAGTATTAGATTTCATCATCGTTTTTTTTCTTTTTTTCTGGTCTGCGTCGACAAGCTGAAATATTTTAGTGTCTATATAACAATTTTCATTGGATATAGCGGCTTCAAGAAAGCCATGCAAATAACGGAAATCGATTTACTGAAACTTTATTTCTACAGAATATTATTTTTGTGCGGATATACTTGCTTATAATAAATGAATAATATTAGTAAGTTTGAAAAGATACATAGACTTCACCATCTATCTATCTATCTATCTATCTATCTATATATATATATATATATATATATATATATATATATATAGTAATATCTATATATTTATCTATATATGGTGAAGACTTTTTTCAAACTTATCGAAAACACACACAAATATATAAATATATATATATATATGTGTGTGTGTGTTTTGTTTTTGTTTGTGCGTATGTGTATTTAAATTAAAGGATATGCATATATATATATGTGTATATATGAAAAAGAATTTTGTATATATATATATATAAAACATATATATATATATATAATTATATAAAAAATCGTCTTTCATATATCTATATACCTCATATATATATACATATATATATATATATATATATATATTTAGGTATATAGATATATGAAAGAGGATTTTTATATATATATATATATATGTATATATATATATATATGAATTAGCATTTTTTAGATAATATATATATATATATATATATATATATATATATATGTATGTATGTATAGTGGAAACAACGTATCTTTTCAAACTTAGTAAAAACGTATACAGACATATATAGATATATATGAAAGGGTTTTATATATATATATATATATATATATATATATATATATATATATATATGTGTGTGTGTGTGTGTGTGTGTGTGTGTGTGTGTGTGTGTTAAACTTGGATCAAATATAGATCAAATATTTATCGAAAATCGACAGATATAAGATAAACAAGAAGTAAGAAATTGATCGAATTGAGGAATCGGAGATCCGAGTTCGAATTCCGGTCGAATCCATTACATTCACTTACGTGCTTGGGAAAGGTATTAATCCTCTTTACCCACCCCCACCCCCAACTATGGGTAAATAGCAGGACCGAGCGGGTTCTATAGCCTTGGGTTTACCGCACAAAAAAATGGCAACCTAATGCAGGAAAAATGATCGGCTAAGCGTGTATCACACATGGCATATAACT